CGACCTGTAGCCCAAATTGAGCCGCCGGCAAGATGAATCCCTTGTCCCTCCCTCCACATCCCCGATATCATACATTGATCTCTTCCCCCTTCCCCTCAACCACTGATGTGTATGAAAAAATTGCCATGGCAAGATCTGGGAATACGTAGATGAACGCAGCCAAAAGTTGCCGTATGCGATCTGCTGATCAAGTCAGTAAGCATACGGACATTCAATGGGGGAGAGGGGAGATAGATGGATGGGGGGGGGAGGTGTGGGGTGCTTGATACGAAATGGACTATCACACGGATATTGCTGTGTGTGTGGTACTTATCTTGCCACATGTAGGTAGTGGTGGTAGAACTAAGACTAGGAAGGCAGTAGTCGATGTATTCTTTTGTGACATGTGGTTGGCAAAGAAAATCAGGAGTTGTCATCCCTGAGGATTTGATATTGCTATGATGTAGGTGGTCACCCCTGTTGTTGCCATGTGCTTCATGTGGTTGTTGCCATGTGCATCATGTGGGTGTTGCCATGTGCATGATATGTTTTGTTGTCATGTGCATGATGTAAATTGTTGCCATTGTGTGGATGATGTAGTTGCTGCCATTTGCAAGATATAGTCGTTGCCATTTGCATGGTATGGTTATTGTCATCTGCATGATATAGTTGTTGCCATCTGCATGATGTAGTTTGTTGCCATCTGCATGATGTAGTTTGTTGGCACGTGATTGCACGGTACAGTTAATACATGTTAGAGGCATGTACGTTCAAATTTGATTATATTGGTCTGGTTGTGCAGATCGAAAAAGGAGGGCAAGGAATGGATCCGGGAAATGGTGGGAATCCTTGGTTCTACAATTCTTTACAAGCACCGTCATGGGATGTGCATGATTATGATGAGCTAAACTCAATTGGCCCTTTGTTGCCACTATTACAACAGTACTTGGACGCAGGTACAATGTTCGTTCTGAAAAGAAAAATAAGAGAAAATAAGTGCACCATGATTGTGAAAAAAAATGAAATGCTTAATATGGACCAGTGTAAAAACTCAGGGGCATTGGGTGGAAGCACACATACTAGATGTGGATGGATGAATGGTGATGGAGAGCCTAGCGAACTATCACACCCAAGGAATCAGCTGCAGATACATGGCTCATTTACAGGATCGGGATTAGTCGACCAACTGACATCAGGTGCAACCGCATCTATGTTGAGTGCGAGTAAGTGTAAAACCATAAATAACATATGCTTCTGCAAAGTACGCATGCATTTAGATCAATAAAAATGAAAAATGGCCAATGAAGAAAGTAAAAACAGGGGAGGTGAAACAAAATGTAAAGAGTGTGCAGTTTTAGAAAGAAAGCATAGTAGTTGCCATATTGCAGTCACAAAATAAGTTGTCATTCGTATTGCCATTGAGCTGTCAGTTGTAGTATGCGAATGTGGAGTTATATCACATGGTGGAACATGCCAGAGTATGAACTATCTTTAAAATAAAAAAAGATTGTGTATTGAAAATGCCATGATGGTCTAACTGTGGTTGGAAATGTTGAAGGTACGTTTATGCATGAGTGAAGCTGCCATGTGTAAAACAGATGAACTTGCTATGTGTTAAAAAATAACTTGCTGTCTGCCAAAGCTTCATGTTTAGTAGAATTTATTTAATTGTTAATGGTGCCTAGGTCATGTCAATAACATGATAAAAATGTTTGATGAATAATTTGTGTATGAATAAAATGCAGGGATTCCGGATGCAGCTAATGCCACTTGGGGCGCACTGTCTATTCCGGAGTCGCATGCATACCAGACTTCTCAACCGAACTACACTGGGCAGACTGTCGTTCGCAAGGCAGGCACGTCGAGAACCAGAAGAAACAACAGTCTTGGATCTGATGTGAGCAACTCAAGAGCAGATGACTCAAACTCGGATGCGGAGATAGTTGGTGAACATGAGGATGAAGATGAACAAGATGATGATCAGGGAGAGGATGAGACACATGAGCATGAATATGAAAAAGATGATGATGGGTTAGAGGATGAGCTGCAATCTTCACTAGCACCACCAGCACCACCTTATCTGCACATGAAATTTGCTACATTTGAAGATGCAAAGGAATACTACCAGAGTTATGCAAAGTTCCATGGTTTTGTAGTATACACAAACCACCGCAGAAAACTAGTAAAAACAGGAGAGTACAATAGAGCTGAGTTGAGGTGTTTCAAGTCGAGAAAGAACCATAAAAAAGGGGGGATGGTCCAGTCATCAGAGAGCGGCGAAGAGACATCATGGTCAAAACAAATTGCCCTGCCAGGATGAAGCTGAACGTCGTAGGGGCCTGGTGGGTGGTAACAAAGTACGTGGGATGTCACAACCATGAAATGATTAAGAAATTTGACCTGGTTAGGTTTCTGAGTGCTCACCGTGGATTCATGCCAGATGAGCAGCAATTTGTGAAGTTGCTCCATGATTGCAACCTCCAACCTGGGAGAATGGTCCACATTCTATCAATGATACACAACAAAACAAGGAAGCTCAGCAGCACGCGTTATCTTCCTTCAGATGTGGTTAAGCTGGTGGCAAAGTATCATAGGGAAAGTCAACTGATGGACATGGAGGACACAATTGCATACTTCAAGGAAAAAGAGAAAGAATATCCTGATTTCTTCTACAAAATGAAGCTGGACGAGGAGGACCGCGTGGTTAACATGTATTGGATAGATGGTGCAGCGTGCAGGACATACAAGCACTTTCGTGACTGTGTGTCCTTCGATGCTACATATCTGACCAATATGTACAAGATGCCATGTGCTCCATTCATTGGCATAAACAACCACAACTAATCGCTGCAGTTTGGGTGCGGGTTTATTAGGAACGAGGATGCTGGTAGTTATATTTGGCTCTTCAAAACTTTCAAGGAATGCATGGGCGGGCTTGAACCGACGAACATCATAACAGACCAGGATTTCGGTATGCGTGCAAGTATTAAGGA